TTACCCCTTTTAAGTCAATAATCCACACCATTATATGTAAACTATAGTTGTATCTAGTCTGCAAGTGTATAAATTTAATAGAGACTCAATTGATTATCAGTTTCACAAAAATATAACACCCAAAGTGTTAATGATATGGTCCATGCCTTAAAATCTATATACAACACCATGTTTAATATGTAAATATTACACTGGATGGTAGGGTTATAACCGCTGTAAGTATTATACTGGATGGTAAGGTAATGACCTCTGTAAGTATTACACTGAATGGTAGGGTTATGACCTCTACCCTGTAAGTATTACAATGGATGTTAGGGTTAGGATCTCTGTAAATATTACACTGGATGGTAGGGTAATGATCTCTTTAAGTATTACACTGGATGGTAGGGTTATAATCTCTACCCTGTAAGTATTACACTGGATGGTAGGATTATGATCTCTACCCTGTAAGTATTACACTGGATGGTAGGGTTATGATCTCTACCCTGTAAGTATTACACTGGATGGTATGGTTATGTTCTCTACCCTGTAAGTATTACACTAGATGGTAGGGTTATGATCTCTACCCTGTAAGTATTACACTGGATGGTAGGGTTATGTTCTCTGTAAGTGTTACACTTGATGGTAGGGTTATGATCTCTACCCTGTAAGTATTACACTGGATGGTAGGGTTATGTTCTCTACCCTGTAAGTGTTACACTGGATGGTAGGGTTATGTTCTCTACCCTGTAAGTATTACACTGGATGGTAGGGTTATGATCTCTGTAAATATTACACTGGATGGTAGGGTAATGATCTCTTAAGTATTACACTGGATGGTAGGGTTATAATCTCTACCCTGTAAGTATTACACTTGATGGTAGGGTTATGTTCTCTACCCTGTAAGTGTTACACTGGATGGTAGGGTTATGATCTCTACCCTGTAAGTATAACACTGGATGGTAGGATTATGACCTCTACCCTGTAAGTGTTACACTGGATGGTAGGGTTATAATCTCTACCCTGTAAGTGTTACACTAGATGGTAGGGTTATGTTCTCTACCCTGTAAATGTTACACTGGATGGTAGGATTATGATCTCTACCCTTTAAGTGTTACACTAGATGGTAGGATTATGATCTCTGTAAATATTACACTGGATGGTAGGGTAATGATCTCTTTAAGTATTACACTGGATGGTAGGGTTATAATCTCTACCCTGTAAGTATTACACTGGATGGTAGGATTATGATCTCTACCCTGTAAATGTTACACTGGATGGTAGGGTTATGATCTCTGTAAATATTACACTGGATGGTAGGGTAATGATCTCTTTAAGTATTACACTGGATGGTAGGGTTATAATCTCTACCCTGTAAGTATTACACTTGATGGTAGGGTTATGTTCTCTACCCTGTAAGTGTTACACTGGATGGTAGGGTTATGATCTCTACCCTGTAAGTATAACACTGGATGGTAGGGTTATGTTCTCTACCCTGTAAGTATAACACTGGATGGTAGGGTTATGTTCTCTACCCTGTAAGTATAACACTGGATGGTAGGGTTATGATCTCTACCCTGTAAGTATAACACTGGATGGTAGGGTTATGATCTCTACCCTGTAAGTATTACACTGGATGGTAGGATTATGATCTCTACCCTGTAAATGTTACACTGGATGGTAGGGTTATGATCTCTGTAAATATTACACTGGATGGTAGGGTAATGATCTCTTTAAGTATTACACTAGATGGTAGGATTATGACCTCTACCCTGTAAGTGTTACACTGGATGGTAGGGTTATAATCTCTACCCTGTAAGTGTTACACTAGATGGTAGGGTTATGTTCTCTACCCTGTAAATGTTACACTGGATGGTAGGATTATGATCTCTACCCTGTAAGTGTTACACTGGATGGTAGGGTTATGACCTCTACCCTGTAAGTGTTACACTAGATGGTAGGGTTATGTTCTCTACCCTGTAAGTGTTACACTGGATGGTAGGATTATGATCTCTACCCTGTAAGTGTTACACTGGATGGTAGGGTTATGACCTCTACCCTGTAAGTGTTACACTAGATGGTAGGGTTATGATCTCTGTAAATATTACACTGGATGGTAGGGTAATGATCTCTTTAAGTATTACACTGGATGGTAGGGTTATAATCTCTACCCTGTAAGTATTACACTGGATGGTAGGATTATGATCTCTACCCTGTAAGTGTTACACTGGATGGTAGGGTTATGATCTCTGTATATATTACACTGGATGGTAGGGTTACGATCTCTGTAAGTATTACACTGGATGGTAGGGTAATGATCTCTTTAAGTGTTACACTGGATGGTAGGGTTATGACCTCTACCCTGTAAGTGTTACACTAGATGGTAGGGTTATGATCTCTGTAAATATTACACTGGATGGTAGGGTAATGATCTCTTTAAGTATTACACTGGATGGTAGGGTTATAATCTCTACCCTGTAAGTATTACACTGGATGGTAGGATTATGATCTCTACCCTGTAAGTGTTACACTGGATGGTAGGGTTATGATCTCTGTAAATATTACACTGGATGGTAGGGTTACGATCTCTGTAAGTATTACACTGGATGGTAGGGTAATGATCTCTTTAAGTGTTACACTGGATGGTAGGGTTATGACCTCTACCCTGTAAGTATTACACTGGATGGTAGGGTAATGATCTCTTTAAGTGTTACACTGGATGGTAGGGTTATGACCTCTACCCTGTAAGTGTTACACTGGATGGTAGGATTATGACCTCTACCCTGTAAGTGTTACACTGGATGGTAGGGTTATAATCTCTACCCTGTAAGTGTTACACTAGATGGTAGGGTTATGTTCTCTACCCTGTAAGTGTTACACTGGATGGTAGGATTATGATCTCTACCCTGTAAGTGTTACACTGGATGGTAGGGTTATGACCTCTACCCTGTAAGTGTTACACTAGATGGTAGGGTTATGATCTCTGTAAATATTACACTGGATGGTAGGGTAATTATCTCTTTAAGTATTACACTGGATGGTAGGGTTATAATCTCTACCCTGTAAGTATTACACTGGATGGTAGGATTATGATCTCTACCCTGTAAGTGTTACACTGGATGGTAGGGTTAGGATCTCTGTAAGTATTACACTGGATGGTAGGATTATGTTCTCTTCCCTGTAAGCATTACACTGGATGTTAGGGTTATGATCTCTGTAAATATTACACTGGATGGTAGGGTTACGATCTCTGTAAGTATTACACTGGATGGTAGGGTAATGATCTCTTTAAGTGTTACACTGGATGGTAGGGTTATGATCTCTACCCTGTAAGTATTACACTGGATGGTAGGGTTATGACCTCTGTTAACCCTATATTACACTAGAGTGTATAAGAATCATGCAGTGTAACACATTTCCATTGAAAGTGAACCAATTTATATTTAAAGTTAACAGCTAGGAATGGACATATAAAGATACTTGACCTTCAATGACCACAGGTAATCTTCCACAATGGTCACTTGGTCATACTTGGGACACCTTTCACCTGTCAGTTAAAGCCATTGCCTGTCCTATCTTGTTACCTGGTATGTCATATCTCTGCCCAATTAACACACTTAATGTCAAACACTGGAGGTAGTACATCAACCTGGGGAGGCCATCAGTGATCTGGTCGATAAAGTAATTGTTATCTGACCATCAAATGACTGTAATATGGTCTAGTCATAGGTCAGGCTCATTGACCATCCCATTGTTTTGCCCACACACAAGCCTGGTTAGTATGAAAGCTTCATAGCGAGGTATATTTAACTTATGTCTTTTGAAATATTTCATCTTTAACAATCAATTGCTCATATCTATTTGAAAGAACCAAATAAAGAAATTTATAACCAGTGTGACAGCATTGACTAATAGTAAACAAGGATGTAGGATAAACATATGTGCTTTAGTGCCGTTTGCTGTTTGATCAGAAAACCACTTGTGACCGACAATTAATTGTCCATTTTCTGGGTACTTAAGAGATAGTTTGGACAACAGAACTCTATATAAGCAGGGCTAAATCCAGTTAATCAGCACCCCTTTAAGGACACTGATTGCCTTACTTGAGAAAGCCATTCCATTAGGCTATGCTCACAGATAAATTGAAAATGGTATCTTGGGTTTATACAAGTTGAATTGAATCCTGTGGACTATAGTGGGGAGACATGTTTTACACAGAAATTACCCATCCAGTAGATCTGGATATATTAAGTAATAAAAAAATCATCTATGTACCACAATTAATTGGACCAAGACCTCGATATTTACATGGAAATATTCTACCAGGGACGTATAATATGTCCCTGATTCTACTTTTAAAATCATTGTTTCACATGTGAAATATGCATATAACAGTTATATATATGTTCTGTACAGATGAAAACAGCACTGACAATAAAGAAAATTATCATGCTTAATTAATCCTACATTTATACGACATTGTAAAATCTGCTACTGTGTAATTGAATTTCATATCCTCATGATCACACTATTAACAATATATTTTTCTGATTTATGAACCTTGTATAAAGTTTCATGTACTTTAGTATTTATTTGTAACGTTTATGAGCCCATATAGTGGTCATTTTCAAGTGACCAGTAAGGTCATAACACATTCCTCAAGAATCAGCCTCAGGTATGTAGTGACCAGTCACATGTTAGGTATGGTCAGTCATCATTCTGTCCTCATCAGAACACCAGCCCAGTAATACATTACTTGCGTATGCACCAAACAGTCACCGTAACTGATGTTATATTATCCCTTGCAAAACACCCCCTCTTTTTTTTATTGATTATGTATTGTCTGGTTATTATGTAAATCAACCGGCATTATCAATAGATATGCTTGCTGATTTATAAACATACTTGTATTTTGTAGATCGTTAAAATATATCTGGTACATTTTTCACATTACTTATTGTATTTTGTATTTATTATTGATTGTTGACTAATAAAAATTTCTAGAATTTGAATATACTTACATCAGCAAAGGATGACTGTGGTGTAACAAACTCACAGCTGCTGTCACTTTCCAGGGGTTTACCCAGGGACTTAGAGTCCGGGTCGTCAGGTGTGAGGATACGATGGGGGATGTTCATCTTACTGCTATCCCACCTAAAACAGGAGAAATAGAATATGATACTTGTTACAGACGGCCTCAATCTTAATTATCTTAAAATACATTATATGTTATAGAGAATACAGTGGAGGAGGTTGGTCTTACTGCTATCCCACCTAAAACAGGAGAAATAGAATATGATACTTGTCACAGACGGCCTCAATCTTGATTATCTTAAAATACAATACATTGTATGTTATTGCGAATACAGTAGAGGATGTTCATCTTACTGCTATCCCACATAAAACAGGAGAAATAGAATATGAAACTTGCTATTGCCTGCCTCAATCTTGATTATCTTAAAATACAATACACTGTATGTTACACAATGAAAACACAAAATCAACTTTTATGTATGAGACATGTAATTCTAGACTGGCGGAAACCTGTGCTATGATGACAATGACCGTAATATTGATAGTAGTAGGAAAAAAAATCTTAGCATATCAGTATCCTAGTAAACATTTTTATCGGAGTTTTGTCAGCTGTCAGTAGTTGAAGGAAGCCAGGGATGTAGCTGGTTATGATGTCACTGTATCTGTTTTATCAGTATTTACTTCTGTCTGTCGACACAGTTGCTGCATGTACGCTACAACTATAGTAAAATAAATACTTCCACACATGTGTTCAAGTTCTTAAGTGGTTTTTTTTACCGTTTGACATATCACATTAATGGTAATCACATCCAAGAATCAGGGTTAGGAAAGCTGCCTATTCTGAACAATTACCTTATCATTTTCACACTAGTGCTAGCTTCTACCCTCACATATATAAATCAAAGTTAAGAACGATTACTAAAACTATATGGCAGTGTTTTTCCTCAGCAGGGTTACCTGAAGGCTTGGTTAGTATAGCAGTTGTCTGTTTCAGCCATACTTCCTTTCTGGCAATCGTCCAGTCACACAATTTCACAATTTAACCCATACTTCTAATTTAACACAGAATCATTAGGTATTCCGAAATTTCCTGTACATGTATCCAATAATGACAGTATGCTTTCATTCAATCACAGGTTTAACAGCTTCAGGGAAACTTCACATGTCCCTCTTTACATCCTCTACTCTAATATATACTACAGACACCTGTGAGAGTCCTGTCAGAAGACACAGATACAGGTGAGACAACCTAGTGCACTGACAGCTGACTGATACTGTAATCAAACTGACCAACAATTACACTATCTGCAACACACAGATACATATAACTTGCTGATAAGACTGACTTCAATCAAATGATTTCAAGTTACATTATTGTCATTTAAATAAAAGTAGAGTGTACAAAATATTGATTTCTGATCAAATTGAAAGCCCTCCTTCTTTTTTTAGAAAAGTGAAAAGGTGTGGCAAAAAACATCCATTATCAGTAAATACGTTAAAATCACAGTACTCACAAGTACAAGTCCATTAGGAGTCAGTCAGTAAGAGATTTCATCAAACAGGTTTTAACATTATTAAATTGAAAATGGAGAAGTAATTTATGTTAAATGTTAATGACATTTTAAATGCCCAGAATGACTATAATGATGTGTGACATTTAGATTGACCTATAATAAAGTGAAATTACAAGTATAATCTTATTTATGGTATTATATTTATCTCTGACCCCTAAAACCTACACTAATCACAGGTAAATCAAAAGTCACTTCAAATCTAACCTTTTCACACAGGTAGAAACTTTCATGTGCCTGATAACTATATCAATCACCACTGGGTGCTTGGACATGGTAGACAAACACACAAGCACATGTATCTTGAGAAGAAAATAACAAATGAATATTTCATATTCTAAAGCATATTAAATTGACCAGAGTGAAAATGACTAACTAATTAATGTTCACAAAATATTGTATAAATATCAGTGTAATTCACATTAAACCAAATGGTCTTTACAGCATTGATACACTTTTCCTTCACACATGATTGATACAATGTCTCCATACTTTTTTTCTTCGTACTGTCATACCATAATGTCACAATGTCCCTTCCATACCATATTGTCACAATGTCCCTTCCATACCATATTGTCAAAATGTTCCTTCCATACCATAGTGTCACAATGTCCCTTACATACCATAGTGTCACAATGTCCCTTCCATACCATATTGTCACAATGTCCCTTCCATACCATAGTGTCACAATGTCCCTTCCATACCATATTGTCACAATGTCCCTTCCATACCATAGTGTCACAATGTCCCCTCCATACCATACTGTCACAATGTCCCCTCCATACATGATCTTTACAATGACCTTGTTCCCTCCATACAAGATTGAAACTTCACCCCCTCTATACCAGACTAATACCTCATTCCCACCATACAAGATTGATACTTCGTTCCCACCATACAAGACTGATATCTTGTTCCCTCCATACAAGAATATACAATTTGTCCCCTCCTCAAAAATCAAATTCAACTGTGACAGATTTTTTCTTAAAAGAATGATCAATGTTATGAATAAAAGGTCACAATCCTTGATAAATAAACAAAAATAGAAGATTTTAAATCTCAATATTGTGAGAAATTGACAGGTAAATGGCAGAACTGTAAACCTGACATTGGTGGTATCAAGCATAGGTAAACACAATAGTGATATATCCTTACTGATGACCCACTAACCAGGGTACCCCAGGTCCTCTCCTGACACCATCCAGGATAGTTTAACCTGTATGTACAAAACTACTTACAGTTAATTAGTGTCCTTAATATCCCACTGAGACAAAATGAAGGCAAATAAAATTCTTCATCAAAGTTAAAGTTAGAAATATTAAATTTTAAAATAAATATAGATTTTTAATGGGACTCACTCCCAGTTACCTGCTTTAGACCACGTAATACCCTGATAAAAATACAACATTCCTGTGAGATAAGCATGTCCATCTTATCTGGCCCACCATAATATACTGGTCTATGAAGGGGGTCTGTACATCCTCAAGCTGACCCATTAACAGTTTGGGTACATTATAGCCAGCTGTTTGTTGGATCATCAACACAAGGTTCCCTGCTAGTTTCCTGTATAATTAAATATCAACATATTTCTCTAGTTGTGAGCCAACAAGAAGCCTATGGCCAGTGTAAATCTATAATTGACCACTTATTAGTTGTTAATTGTGATGAAATATAAGCAACTTTAGTAAATTAAGAGATTAATTAATGCTGACATGATTTTACAATTAAGTGACTCATAATCTCTTCAAGCATTCAAGGCCAAGACATTATCAGGCAATGTCAGTTATTAGGTGGAAAGATGCATGATCAAATTAAGTGAAAATGCATTATGTTGAACAGAATTTTCTTTTTCCCTGACAGAAGAAGGGGTTATATGAAGATTCCTTAATACACCACACTGTATCTGATGTTAAAGTCAAACATACAAACAACACATAAGGCAAGGCTGTTAGATGTATAAATAATATATATACACTATAATGGGAGCACGAGTTATGGTTCTCAAGAAGAAGTTGCTAAAAGAAATTAAATGATGACTGAGACTAAAAAGCCTACTTTGATAAAATAGTATTGTATTAGTATATTCTTTAAGAGACATGAACCTACTGAAAGTCATTTTTATCTTGTAAAATTAAATATAACTTAATATTAACATGAACTACTTATTAAGAGTTATATATATATATTTGTAAACAACTATGCATCATGTAGATTTTGATTTCCATACCAGAAATTGTGGCTCTATAACATAAAGAAAATTCAAATTATATAGAATATGTTGGAACTTATCTTCAGCAAACTATGTGTATATATATCCTTTCCGTTCAAATTCTAGCTGTATATAATTTACACCATCAAACAACATTAAAATGCAACATTCTGTTTTTTCTATTTAGTCCCTTGATTAAAAGAAACAAAATTTTCATGTCTTAAAATAAAGTACAGAAATGTTCAATTTAAACGCAACTAACCTCGCTGAAAAGCATATCATTAAAAGTTTGAATTCAATATCACTCGAGTTTGTAACACAATAGGTATGTGATTATACACTCCTGGTCAAACATAAAAGAAAGGTGGCTTCCTTCTACAGCTCGTTAGTACAGGTGTGTCAATGACCCTAACCATTATCTACCACCTTGTTGAACCTCTACAACAACAATACAGTGATGAAAGGCAGTGATATCTCATTGTTTACGCAGACTGTAAACATGTTATCTTAGGACACCTGTCCACAGCCAGTAGGATAACTCCATATACATATATGTACATCAGGAAAGATAAATGGACCAGTAGGAACAATAACATTTTAATGTGAGAAGAGTTATCATTATTATTGACAATATTTAAAATCTCAAAATCACTCTTTGAGGGTAAAAATAATACCTAGTTAATATATAGAATTGAGTTGAAATTGCACTTCTTCATACACAACTAGCTACCAAGCATTGGACAAATTTCTGTGTAAACCAAGTGGATGTTATGGAGTGATGACCTGTTGTGGTATGGGGATAGTCTGACATATGGCCTAGACACTAATTCTCTCTCAACCATTGGAGTATATCATATTCACATTAGTAGCCCAGATGTGCATTGATGCATCTGATTACAGGGTCAGCCAGGGAGCCAGGGATTCAACTGAATGTCCTAACCATCCCCATTAAAGGCCAGTAAGAGCAAGGACTCTCTTTGTTATAGGGTAACCTCCTGCACTCATCCACATCTACTAGGAGGCTCCCAGTACTGCGGAGAATATCCACCACCCCCCTCTCTTTCCCTCATACCTATATTTTGACCAGCAATGTGTCCTCATGGAGAATATCCTCCACCCCCCTCTCTTTCCCTCATGCCTATATTTTGACCAGCAATGTGTCCTCATGGAGAATATTCTCCACCCCCTCTCTTTCCCTCATGCCTATATTTTGACCAGCAATGTGTTCTCATGGAGAATATCCTCCACCCCCTCTCTTTCCCTCATGCCTATATTTTCACCAGCAAGGAGTCCTCATATACCAGCATCCATTTACATAAATGAGAACACAACATATGACC